CCAACCAAAAGCCACACTGGCCAGTGTAGCAATCATTCTTTATCAAACTGTAAAGCTGCCTTCTTCTATATTATACTCCACTATGGAAACATGCATTTACTACTACAAACAATGCTGCTATGACCACCCTTGTATAAATGTAAATGCCATTGCCACCTAATGCTTTAGGAAATAAAAACACTCTAGTAGTATAGAATTACTAAGATTAAGTTTTAATTCAATGGCATGTTAAAAACAAAAATAAAAAAAGTGAATAAAGATAACAGGAAATTATCTTTCTTTATGTTCCATAACAATGATTAAAGCACAATAACTACTTGACCAGTTTGGCTCAGTGGCTAGAGCGTCAGCCTGTGGACTGAAGAGTCCCAGGTTCGATTCTGGTCAAGGGCATGTGCCTTGGTTGCGGGCACATCCCCAATAGGGGGTGTGCAGGAGGCAGCTGATCGATGTTTCTCTCTCATGGATGTTTCTAACTCTCTATCCCTCTCCCTTCCTCTCTGTAAAAAAATCAATAAAATATATATATTTTTTAAAAAAGCACAATAACTAGTGGAAGACAAGGTCAGCACATCATATTCCTGGATAAGGGAGTTGAGGAAATGTAAATTCTTACTATTATTGTGAGTCTATGCCTATGTGCTGCTCATGTCACAGCCTATGCCTTCTGACCTACTCCACTAAGATCATTTGATTCATTAAGAAATATCTTCTTTACACAGAGCTGAGATCTACTTCTTAATTTCTACCAGGTAGTTAGTTCTACTTGGGCCTTCTAAAACAAAATAGGAATGCAAGGGGTTCTCAAAACATTCCATCAAATATTGTGTTGCCAAAACCTGTATTACAAACCTTAAACAAAAATAAATTTCCTATTGGTTAGAATATTCCAAATAATAAGGGAAACAAGTGACATCTATCTCTTAGCTTTATTTTATTCATCTAAAAAACCAACAGCAAGCAATTAAGGGCAAAATGTCAAGGGTAAACAAATCTTATATGGTACTTGTAAATATTTACAAGCTCCTTAGCTCTACTCCTACCTTCAGGGTCAATCAAGCCTTAATGCCTGAAACTTTGCCTCAACACCCTGCACACAGTTTACAACTCTGAAGCTCATATAACAGGTAATATGAAAATGCTACATATGCACAAATTATAGCGATTATAATCTTAATGGGCTTTAAAAAAATTTTTTTTGCCCTGGTCCAGTAGCATACTTGGTTGGAGCTTCATCCTGTAAACTTAAAGGTGTTGGGTTTGATCCCCATTTGGGCATTTGTGGAAGGTAACCAATCAATGTTTCTCTCTTATATCAATGTTTCTCTCTCTCTCTAAAAATCAATAAAAGATATCCAGGTGAGGATTTAAAAAAAAAAAATTCCATACTTTGAAATTGCCACTGCTAACCTCTTTCAGCACCGTCTTCTCATGCCATGTTCTATGTCCACATCACCATGTATGCGCATGCACACCTTTTTAAAAAAATGCTTTTATTTATTTTAGAAAGAGAGAAACATCTATGTCTCTCTCTCTTTCTACCCCCATTTCCTCTCAAAAAAAAAAAATCCTCTGGTGAGGATTAACAACCACAATAAAAGAAGTATCCAAGCAATCTGGCTACTAAGAGGTTCCTGTTGAATTTAACAAGTACATTTCCAGAACTTAAAGAAGCCTCAGTATTCCATTCCACAGTAAGGTTTCCAACGAGCACTGCAAAATATTGGAGTTGGGAAGGTGCAGCTGGGAAGTTCCGGTAAAGATGGCGGCATAGCACTGACCCGGTGGCTCAGTCGGTTGGAGTATCATCCCATGCACCAAAAGGTTGCAGGTTTGATTCCCAGTCAGGGCATATACATAGGTTGTGGGTTCAATCCCCAATTGGGGTGCAGATGGGAGGCAACTGATCTATGTTTTTCCTCTCACATTGATGTTTCTCTCTCTGAAGTTAATAAAAACATATTTTCAGGTGAGGATTAAAACACACACACACACCAAGAAACAATGGAGGTGTAGGTAAACACCCTGCTCAGAACCTCCCACCACCACATCAAAATTACAACTAAATTACAGAATTGACACCCTTTAGAATGCCTGAAATCTAGTTGAACAGAAGTCCTATAATAAAGGATATAAAGAAGAAGCCACATGGAGACTGGTAGAGACTGGTAGGAAGGGTGGAGACTCAGAAAGGGCTGGCCCCACACCTATGTGTGGAGTTTCAAAAGGGAGAGAGCCCTGGCCAAGTAGCTCAGTTGGTTAGAGCATCCTCCAGATCAGTGGTCGCCAACCGGTGGTCCGCGGACCACAGGTGGTTTGTGAGGTCCGAAAGGTTGGCGACTGCTGCTCCAGATGAACCAAGGTTGTCGGTTCAAACTCTGGCCAGGGCACATACAAAAGAAGCAACCAATGAATGTATAAATAAGTGGAACAACAAATCGACTTTCTCTCTCTCTCAAAAATCAATAAATAAAATTGCCTGTGCACTGAGTTACTTGGACTCACTCTGAATTACAGCACAGGGGCAGCAGCTGGAAAAGAGCCAGGGACATATGGGAAGGACCTGAATTGTCTGGCTTCAGGACAAGGGCTGGAGGGGAAGCTTTCTCTCAGACAGAAGTGTTGGCAGAGGCCACTGTTCCTTTGTTGAGTCCCCCCCCCCCCCCTCACAAAGAGCATCAACCTGGCCAACTCTGCTCTCCCGCCCTTGTGAATCTCTGAGATCTAAACTGTGGGCCCACCCAAGCTGTTTCCAATGGCTTTTCCATACAAATGGCCTCTCTTGCTTGGCTCATGCTTCTGACTTTCCTAAAATCTTTCAAACAAGCAGCATCTGGCCTCAGCATGACCCATATCTCTGGCTAAGTGGCTCCAGGCCTGGCACTAGTGGCAGCCAGTTTCGATTCATAGCTTGGCCTCTCCTGGGCACTTCTAAACCCAGCACAAGTAGCAGCCATTTGCAGATCACCAGGTGGCCCAGGGCAGGGCACAGATGGTGGCTGACCTTGCACCCTCTGGAAGGCCCCAACGCCAGTGCACTTGATGGACAACTTCAGACCACATCAGATTATAACCCAACCACCTCCATGAGCGA